ATTTACACCTTTGTTATTGTTTGATAGCCAAAAGATTTGCAATTCTACACCAATTCTAGTCTGACATGGTCTTACCATGATGGGAAAACCTCCAATGGAAAGTGTCAATATGAGGCTTAAGTACTTTATAATTTACTAAATAAAATAAACTAATTCCATTTATTTTAATTAAGTAAAAGCTACAATGTGCTAGATAGGATTACTGAATCCAGAGAAGCACAAAAGGTACAACATTTCAATTATATTTCAATTATAGTCAGATTAAGGGGGGGTTCCCATTTCTTCTCTTCTCTTCTTCTTAGTAGTATCTTTTTTCTGTAAATATTAATTTATTTCTACAACTACAAAAAGGTCATTAAAAAATTACCAGCCTAAGTACACTTCCTGAAACAGCAGAGATACTCATGCAATGTAGGACACCTGAGAAATCTGAATTAAGAAGAATGTTGTCAGATATATCCTGTTGTGTCAATTCCACACTCCAACATTCCAAAAGCCTCAACTGGCATAATTCTCATCCCAGGTCTTTTACAGAGGAAGAACAGATTTGGTCTCTTTTAAGAAAGTTTAGTAAAATAGAAGATTGAAGGAATATCCTAACAGCAGCATTGAGTGACCTGGTGGATGATGGGAGGGGTGCAGTCCTGTTGGTTCTCCCTGGGTGTCTCAACCATGGTCTATTTCTGGCTCATCTAGCTGGAGTGAATCTGGGAAACAGAATGCTGTGGTGGATCTGGTTCCTCCTTGCAAGATGAATCCAGATGCTGACGCAAGAGGACTTCTGTTCTACCTCATGGTACCTTAGGGTGCCTCAGAGCACCATCTTGTCCCCAGGCTTTTTACATGAAGCCACTGGTGGGAAAGGAAGTCATCTGGAGTTTTGGAATAATGCTGATAACATTAAATTCTACCTCTCATTTCCACCTACTGACAGATATCTGGAGGTAGTTTTGGGATAGGTAAAGGTAAAGGGCCCCCTGACCATTAGGTCCAGTCGTGACCGACTCTCTGGGGTTGCGACGCTCATCTCGCTTTATTGGCCGAGGGAGCTGGCGTACAGCTTCCGGGTCATGTGGCCAGCATGACTAAGCCACTTCTGGCAAACCAGAGCAGCACACGGAAACGCCGTTTTACCTTCCCGCTGGGGTGGTACCAATTTATCACCTTGCACTTTGACGTGCTTTCGAACTGCTAGGTTGGCAGGAGCAGGGACCAAGCAACGGGAGCTCACCCCGTTGCGGGTATTCGAACCGCTGACCTTCTGATCGGCAAGTCCTAGGCTCTGTGGTTTAACCCACAGCACCACCCGCGCCCCTTTTTGGGATAGATGAGGTCTGACAAGCTGAAACTCCACTCTGAAAAGACAGCGGTACTGTGGGAGGAAAGGTCAGCCTATGTAGATGGAGGTCTGCAACTGGTTCTGGATTGGATTCCACTCTCTCTGAACCATTCAGTTTTGCATATTGGAGGTCCTCCTGGACTCAGTGCTATCTGGGGAGGCACAGGCAGCATCTGCGGTGTCATTTACCATCTTTAGGTGGAACACCAGTCCGAGGCCCTATTTGGAAATGGTGTACTTTATCTCAATTACTCATATCCTGGTTATGTCCCGATTAAGCTATGGTGATGTACGTTACATAGAATTGCCTTTAAAGACAGTCCAGCAGCTTCTGGTACAGAATGCAGCCGATGGACACTTGAGAACATCAGGTGTTCAGAGCCTACTAAATGGTCTTGACCTTTTTAATGCCCTAAACTAGCCTCATCAGGAGTGATGAGAGCTATCAAAAATATATGGAGGCCATTAGGCTGCGGGAAGCTACCCTATACAGTTTCCTGAGCCTAAATATGTCCAGGCATTAAGATCACCAAATGACCATGTTCATATGTCCACCATTTTGGACACATTGGCAGGTATAATAAACAGGGCATTTTCAGTTGTGGCCTGGTCACTGTGGAACTCCATTTCAATTTGTCTCCCTCATTGTTTCAGAGACCTTTTTACTACAATCCACCTTCGTTTAAAAATGAATGGCTGGATTTTGAATTATTCTTTGAATGGCAGCCTCTGCTGTATAACAAGCTCCATCAGGCTCCTCCCTCAACTGTCATGTACAATAGCTATTCCATAAGGGTATAGGAGACTAAAGAGAGAGAGAGAGAGAGAGAGAGAGAGAGAGAGAGAGAGAGAGAGATGGGACTGCAGCGCCTCTCCATCCACTCTGCTGAAAAACCAGCAACTTTTGGAGCTACCTCCGCTTTCCCTTCCTCCACTCTCCCAACCCCTTTTCCCTTTGTGTCACATCATGTAAGCCAAAAGGAAGTGACTGCCTTATCACTGACATTTGTAAGTAACCATGAAATCACTGGCTGAACAGCAGGAATAATAGCACTATTACAGTGGATGCTCGGGTTGCGAACGGGATCCGTGCGGGATGCATGTTTGCAACCCGCATGGGTGCGTCTGTGCACACACGGATTGCGCTTCGGCGCATGCGCAAAGCACAATTTAGTGCTTCTGTGCATGCGCGACTGCCGAAACCCAGAAATAACCCGTTCCAGTATTTGTGGGTTGCAGCGGTCCGTAACCTGAAAAAACACAACCTGAAGCGTCTGTAACCCAAGGTATGACTGTATATCATTCTTGCTTTAATGTGTGATAACATTTAACTGTTTTGTTTGAATCATTGGTCTGAAAGGATATGTGCTACTCTTCTAGTTTTTAACATTTTAATTAGTGGTGGGTTTTAAAAAAAGTTTTTAGGATCCTGATTGCCACCTTGGGATAACTTTTTGTTTTAAAAACACATCAAGTGAAGAACACACTAATAGATAATCTGCTCTGGCAGTTAGACGACCATGTATATTCTTCCAGAAATGCAATTAAGTAAAGCATTTTTATTTGACTCAGCCAACACAATGCATAGGCTGGTAGGGTAGAAAAATGAAAGGTTGGGTAGCCAAACTGGTGTCAAAGATTTAATGGTTACTTTGGCATCTTTCCATTCTGGATGCAGGTGGGAAGAACAAAGGAAACAATAAACTGCTGCTTCTAATTCACATGTAGAGATGGTTGGGAAGGTATTTTATATTGCTTTATTCTTTTAGTAAACCACTTTGAGATTGTTATTTTTAAACTATCAAGTGGTGTATAAATTATGTGAAAGAAAGAAATAAGTGAGTTTAAAAACTAATCAATTGTCATTGTTGAAATATTGGCTCAGATCGGTTGCAAAAAAAGGCCAAACCATATGAAAACGTGAAGAAAGAAATACTTGCCATTATTTAAGATAAAGTATATGAGAATTGTGATGGTTTTTATATTGTTTGCACTTTAGTGTCTTTGGTTAAAAAAAAAAATCAATTTAACTACTAACAAATATTGTAGCTGATGTGCCAGAAGAAGCATCTCTCATGGTGTCTGCTGTGAGATAAGTGCATCATCTTTAAAAAGATAGCTTTTTTCAGAAGTACTGCATTATTAATATACATATTTATGCAAACTGATTAATCAACTAAAGCTCAAACAATGAGTCAATTAAGTTTTCTTTTATTGCATAACAGCCCTGATTAACAACTAATTCAAGCACTGTCAGGTATGAATAGTAGAGTTGAGGAAGGAAATGAAGAGTTCTAGCCCTTACTTCCTGTCCAGCATCACTGACGCCATTATCTTAGATCAGAAGTGGGGAGCTACAGCCCCCTAGATGCTGTTGGACTACAGCTCTCATCATCCCTAACCACTGGCTACGCTCACTGGGGCTGAAAAGAGCTAAGGGTCCAGTAAAATCCTGAGGGCCACATGTTCCACACCTCTGCTTTAGACGAAGCAAAATACGAGACCATGTCTGCTTTCCCAAACCTGGCCTTTGCCTCTGTTCCCTACAAATATAACCTCAGGTTCAGGCCCTGAGCAGAAGATAAAGAGTTATATTTTTGAGCGAAGTCTGAGTATATCTGGGACATGGGTGGCGCTGTGGGATAAACCACAGAGCCTAGGGCTTCCCAATCAGAAGGTCGGCGGTTCGAATCCCCGCAACGGGGTGAGCTCCCGTTGCTCGATCCCTGCTCCTGCCAACCTAGCAGCTCAAAAGCACGTCAAAGTGCAAGTAGATAAATAGGTACTGCTCCGGCGGGAAGGTAAACTGCGTTTCTGTGTGCTGCTTTGGTTCGCCAGAAGTGGCTTTGTCATGCTGGCCACATGACCCGGAAGCTGTACGCCGGCTCCCTCGGCCAATAAAGCGGGATGAGCGCCGCAACCCCAGAGTCGGTCACGACTGGACCTAATGGTCAGGGGTCCCTTTACCTTTACCTTTTACTGAAATTATATAAAGGGTGGAAAATTTCCACCTCAGAAACTTAGTTCTTATTTTGTTTTGTTCATACAAGCCAGGAGTGCAGAGAAGTGCCATACCCATTTCAGAGGGCCAGGGCATACAGTTTTGCACCCCAATGCAATGTTGTCTGCAACTGCAGTTCCTTATGTTCCATCGCAGAAAGGAATGACAGCTGCTTGCTTATATGAGAGAAAGAAAAGGACTTGTAACCAGGATCGCAGCTGGCTTGTAAGGGGCTATGCCCCATATCTGCACCAGGAAGTCCCAGGGCCTGGGGAGAGAAGCAACTTCTGAACCCTCAAGTATGTCCCAGGTTATGGGCCATTTACTTATCCCAGAAAACTCAATGGGAGCTCAACGGCATCCCTGTTCTCTTTTTTGATCACACTAGAATATGAGACTTCTGTGAACAGAGAAAAGGTCGATTTCTATCCCACTTCTTATAAATATTGCAAGGTACTCAATACAATTTGTTTTGTTTGTAGAAGACTTCTAACATGAATATTGCATGCAGCCCAAACTTGCTCAACTTGTACCATTTCAGACAAGGGGGATTATCAATGGAGCTTTGTGGAAAGAAACTGAGTGGAAGTTTTCGGTGGGATGGTGGAAACAACCTTTATTCAACATTTCAAACTCACTCAACTCGTGTAAGTTCCTTACCAGTTAATTTCTTCATGGGCTGGAGCCGAACACTGATAGACTGATGTGTTAGTAATGGGGAGGATGGGAGAGAGCGGGACATGCCTTCCATAATCCGAATGTGCTGCATACCTTCAGGCACTGGGAGTGTTGGGATAGCATACTCTGGTTCAAAAGCACAGTCGTTCTCTGTGGAGCTGCCACCTGAGAGAAATATAACAAATAAAATATCATTAACCAAGCATTGCCTCCTTGTTTAAAATACATACATAAAGTCTTAAATTTGTATGCCACCTTTCCACCCCAACCTGGCTACAGTGATCCATGCGACGGTCACCTCCAGGCTTGACTACTGTAATTCGTTCTACACGGGGCTGCCCTTGAAGCTGTCCCAGAAACTCCAGCGGGTGCAGAATGCTGCAGCGAGGCTCCTCACGGGGTCTCTGCCATGGGAGCATATTCACCCAGTGCTTTTCCAGCTGCACTGGCTCCCGGTGGAGTACAGGGTCAGATTTAAGGTGCTGCTTTTGACCTTTAAAGCCCTTCACGGCCTAGGACCCTCATACCTACGGGGGTCTCCGCCTCTCCCAGTATGCCCCATGGAGAGCCTCAAGGTCCATAAATAGCAACACCCTAGTGGTCCCGGGCCCTAAGGAAGTTAGATTACCGTAGCTTCAACCAGAGCCAGGGCCTTTTCAGCACTGGCTCCGGCCTGGTGGAACGCTCTGCCTCATAAGACCAGGGCCCTGCAGGATCTGCTTTCTTTCCTCAGAGCCTGTAAGACAGAGTTGTTCTGCCTGGCCTTTGGCTTGGAGCCAATTTGATTCCCTCCCCCTCTTTCTTTTTTCTTTTTCCTTTCTCCTCCTGTGATAAGGCTGCATTTTAACATTTTAATGTTTCAATATTTTAATGTTGTATTTTAATCTTGTTTTTAAGTTGTATTCATTCAACTTGTTTTTATTATTGCTTGTTAGCCGCCCTGAGCCCAGCCTTGGCTGGGGAGGGCGGGGTATAAATAAAAATTATTATTATTATTATTATTATTATTATTATTATTATTATTATTACAGTGATACCTCTGGTTGTGAATGCTTCCGGTTACGAACGCTTCAGGTTACGAGCTCCACTAACCCGGAAGCAATTGCTCCTGGTTGTGAACTTTGCCCTAGGATGTGAATGGAAATTTGTGTGCCAGAAGCGCATGCACAACGGGAGGCCCCATTAGCAAAAGCGCGCCTCAGGATAAGAATGGTTTCAGCTTAAGAACGGACCTCCAGAATGAATTAAATTTGTAACCAGAGGTACCACTGTACTGGTTTATAACACGGGGGGAAATTACATAATTATAAACTTAACAAAAATAATCATAATAAATAAATCATCCAAAAGTACACAACCAAACTGAACAATCTCCACATAAATCATATCTCAATGCCTGTAACATGGTAGATAATAATAATAATAATAAATTTTATTTATATCCCGCCCTCCCCAGCCGAAGCCGGGCTCAGGGCGGCTAACAACAATAAAACAGTACAAAAGTACAGCATAAACAACACTCTAAAATCATTCATTATAAAATTAATTAATTCAAGCCACTGGCAACCATTGGGCCAGAGCTCCGCGAAGATTGCCGAGGGAGGGAGTCAGGCTGTGCCCTGGCCAAAGGCCTGGTGGAACAGCTCTGTCTTGCAGGCCCTGCGGAAAGATGTCAAGTCCTGCAGGGCCCTGGTCTCATGAGGCAGAGCGTTCCACCAGATCGGAGCCACAGCCAAAAAAGCCCTGGCTCTAGTTGAGGCCAGCCTAACTTCTCTGTGGCCTGGGACCTTCAAGATGTTTTTATTTGAAGACCGTAAGTTTCTCTGTGGGGCATACCAGGAGAGGCGGTCCCGTAGGTACGAGGGTCCCAGGCCGTATAGGGCTTTAAAGGTTAAAACCAGCACCTTAAACCTGATCCTGTACTCCACCGGGAGCCAGTGCAGCTGGTATAGCACCGGGTGAATGTGATCTCGCAGTGAAGACCTCATAAGGAGTCTCGCTGCAGCATTCTGCACCCGCTGGAGTTTCTGGGTCAGTCTCAAGGGCAGCCCCACGTAGAGCGAGTTACAATAATCCAGTCTGGAGGCGACCGTCGCGTGGATCACAGTGGCTAGGTCAGGGCGAGAGAGGTAAGGAGCCAACTGCTTAGCTTGGCGGAGATGGAAAAATGCTTGTTTTGGAGCAAGCTTGTTTTCTCCTGCTCTAGAGTGTAGGACTTGAACCAGCGGATTCAAGTTACAAGAAAGGAGATTCCAACTACACATTCGGAAGAACTTTCTGACAGTAAGAGCTGGTCAACAGCGGAACGGTCTCCCTTGGGAGGTTTTGAACTCTCCATCCTTGGAAGATCTTAAGCAGAGGTTGGGTGGCCACCTGTCATGGATGCATTAGCTGAGATTCCTGCATTGCAGGGGGCTGGAGTAGATGTCCTTTGGGGTTTCTTCCAACTCTACAGTCCTATGATTCTAGTTTTGTCTCTGGCTCTACTCACCCTAATGTGGCTCCCAAAATATTAGCTCTGAGGAAAGCTGGTCCTTGACAAGGGGGGGAATGTCCTAAAACTATCAAAAACTGGAAAATCTTTAAATTTCCATAGTGAAAGCCTTGCGCTCTCAGGTGGACTCTGTGATAAAAAAGAAGCCAGTTTTCCTTCAGGACATCCCTTGTTCTCAGCCTGGGGAGCCAGGCTGAGAACATTGCATTGCCAACGTGGGTTTAGCACCGACTAGCACATCACACAGTAGCTCATTTCTCTGGATTGCCTTGATCAGAAGAACTGAAACAGTGCCCAATCCCTCAAATGAATGCCTTCTGGGCACAGATACAAATTAGTAAGAAATACTGAGCATTTGAATTCATCCAATTAAGGCCAGTGTATACCATGCCAAATTCTGGTCAATGCACCAACTAGGTCCCCCAGTCAAGGTTCAAATAGCAACCCACTGGGACAGGGAATAAGGTTAACTTCTGAAACCAGTAAAAAGCTTAATCGGCAAAACTGCTAATACAGTGGTACCTCGCAAGACGAATGCCTCGCAAGACGGAAAACTCGCAAGACGAAAGGGTTTTTTGTTTTTTGAGCTGCTTCGCAAGACGATTTTCCCTATGGGCTTGCTTTGCAAGACAGAAACGTCTTGCAAGTTTGTTTCCTTTTTCTTAACACCGTTAACACAGTTGCGACTTGACTTCGAGGAGCAACTCATAGCACGCGGTGTGGTAGCCTTTTTTGAGGTTTTTGAAGACTTTGGTGATTTTTGAAGCTTTTCCAAAACTTTTCCGACACCGTGCTTCGCAAGACGAAAAAAATCGCAAGGCGACAAAACTCGCGGAACGAATTAATTTCGTCTTGCGAGGCACCACTGTAAATTGAAACGTAATCCAGACAAGGCAGCAGTGCTCTGGGTCAGAAGGGACAAAAATCTGAAGCTGGGGTTCAATGTGCTTTGTATGGGGTAGTACTGTACTTCTCTTAAGAACCAGGTTCAGTTTGGGGATGCTTCTGGATTTAACTCAGCATATGTGTGTTCAGGTGGCAGCTGCAGTCAGGAGTGCTTATACCTGGCTTAGGCTGAGCCACTAACTGCACCCATTGCTGCAGAGATCATACCTGGCCATGCCAACACGTGCATTAATCATATACAGACTGGATTATCACAATGCACTCTAGATCAGTGTTTCCCAACCTTGTGCCTCCAGCTGTTTTTGGACTACAATTCCCATCATCCCTTGCCACTGGTCTTGCTAGTCAGGGATGATGGGAGTTGTAGTTCAAAAACAGCTGGAGGAACAAGGTTGGGAAACACTGCTCTAGATGAGCCTATCTTTGAAGAGTCTTCAGACACATCACTTGGTCCAGAATGAATCAACAAGAATGTAAATGGACAGCCATGCCTCTCCTGCAGCAACTGCACTGAATGCCAATCTGTTTCTTGGCGCAATGCAAAGTGTTGGTGATTACTTTAGAGACCTAAACAGCTTGAATCAAGGATACATTAGAGGCCATTCCTCCCATCTCATCCTGTCCACTTCCACAGATCTTTCCATACGAACCTACCTGGACCCTGAGATCATCTTCCAAGACCCTTCTTTGTGTGCCCCCTCCCTAAAATGTGTTTGGGGGGAGGTATTGGGTTGTTTCTGTTTTTATTTTTATTTTTTATTTTGTGGTTTTATATTCTGATTTTATCCTCTGAACCACCATGAGACCTGCAGGTATAGCGTGGTATACAAATTAAACAAACAGACACACACACACACAGAGACTGACTTCTTCTTTGTTTCACTCATGGCGGAAGCACAATTGACAGGAACTAGAGAAAGCGCCTCCTTAATAGCTATGCCGAAACTGCAGAACTCTTTGCGCCATGAGGCTGAACTGGTCCCTTCTCTTGCCATCTTCGAACAGCTGGAAGACTCTTCATTTTTACCCCAGCAGGTTTTGCCTTACAGTATAGATAATGTTTTATTCAATTATGTTTATTTTTATTTATTATGTCCCTATCTTATCTCACATTGCCTGGTTTTGTATATTGCTATTTTATTATGAGTTTATGGTTTCAACTACAGAAAGCCGCCCTGAGTAAGTTGCGTGCATTAGAAAGGCAGTATATAAATCCCTATATAAATAAATAAAATATATTCCCAAGTCCTTCCTATTAAGTGTTGCAGATTCAATTGCTCATCCACTTCTCTCATTCTCCGTTCTTTACTTCTCCTCCAATGAAAGCCATACTCTGTTTATTTAGCCATGCAAACAATGATGAGGAGATTGCCTCCTGTATATGTTTTAGAGAACTGTTTAGATTAGAGAACTTATTAGCAATTGTAAAACAAAAACAAAAATCAGACAGGCATGGGCTCTATCTATCCAACGTACAGTGGTACATCAGGTTTAGAACTTAATTCGTTCTGGAGGTTTGTTCTTAACCTGAAACTGTTCTTAACCTGAAGCACCACTTTAGCTAATGGTGTCTCCTGCTGCCACTGCACGATTTCTGTTCTTATCCTGAAGCAAAGTTCTTAATCCGAGGTAATATTTCTGGGTTAGCAGAGTCTGTAATCTGAAGCGTATGTAACCTGAAGCGTATGTAACCCAAGGTACCACTGTATCGGACACACTTTTCCTCACTTGACCTGGGAATGCTTAAGAAAGACTTGTGTGCTAAACTAAAGAGAGTTAACATTGAACTTGTTCCACTACAGGGTCACCTTATGCAATGAGATTTTCTGCACAAACCAAACTGACATTGCTGGGTACAACCCATTGGCTCATCTCGCCTTAGAGAGGCATTAGCACTAATACTGTTATAATGTATTTATTAAATTCATTATCCTGCCCTTCTTCCCAAAGCAGGACCACAAGAATGACCAAGTGGTCATATTCTGGATTGGAACAGTGAAGACCTACAATAAAAAATGAAGTAATCTCCAATGCCACAGTCTGCTAGCTTACTTGTAATACAGACATTCCACAATCTGTGTAGCTAATAAGTTACTGACAGAAAATTAGATAACTTTCTATCAGGTATTTAATTAGATTTCTGTTCAAGATATGAGACGAAGGTTCATCTTTCATATTTTGATTTAATTACTTCCTAGAAATATTAAAGTGTCTACTGCTTAGAGAACTTAAAACTATCAAGTGGGTTTTAAATGCTTCAAAATAAATAAATGTGGAAATTTTGTGCAGGTGGAGCAAAAGAGGAAGTCTGCAAACAGCTGGCACAGATCTGATTTAGTGGAGCAAGCAGGTTAGCGCTCAGAATATGTTTCCACTGATTTCTTGAAGCAACCCAACTGAACTGCATTCTGATGTGGTATTTTCTCTGAAGAAAGCTGCTGCCGCATTATCAAACTCCATTATCCAACAGCTATGCATATTTGTACTCCCAATAAAGTACAGTGGTACCTTGGGTTACATACGCTTCAGGTTACAGACTCCGCTAACCCAGAAATAGTGCTTCAGGTTAAGAACTTTGCTCCAGGATAAGAACAGAAATTGTGCTCTGGCGGTGCGGCAGCAACAGGAGGCCCCATTAGCTAAAGTGGTGCTTCAGGTTAAGAACAGTTTCAGGTTAAGAACGGACCTCCGGAATGAATTAAGTACTTAACCCGAGGTACCACTGTATACTCAACAAAGCCCACTACAAGAGGAGAAGTGGAGGCTACTAATTCAAGGAAACAGAAGATTATTTTGTCTAAATCGCATTTAACGGAAGTACATGCATAAAACTATTCACAGGAGTCTATCTTCATCCTTAAATGTTTGGCGTTTCTAAAAAGATTGTGCATCGCTGCAGACTGGAATACATTAAAATATAATATCACAAATGGGCTCTGCAAGGCATATGTAATATCTGGAAATCCACGGTTTACTTACCTTGCCCAGAATGGCTCTGACAGTAGTCTATGCTTGCCTGCCTTCGGTCTGATGGTTCCTCGCTTCCTCCATCTGCAGGGGAACCAAAACAGCACAAGTAAATCAGCAAGGCAGATAGATCTGGCAGACGCAGCTTCTCTTCCAGTAGCATCACTATCAGGCTAGGAGGCCAGCTGGTTTTCTTTTGGTTGCAAGAGGAAGAAAGCAACCCAAGAGCAAAATCTCTTTGGTTCGTGTCATTCGTCCCTGAACCAAAGGCCCCCAAAATCTACTTTAAGAGTCTCCCAATGCCTCCACAAATATCTGGACAAAATCACAATGCCCATCATTTAATTTTACAAGAGAGATCTAAGCCATTTAGATAAACTGATCGAAAGAAGTACCGGTAGTTGATAATATTCAGAATAAAACCGGTAGTTGAAAACCAGCTGCTTATTCTGTGAAATATTCCTTGACACTGAATTTATTATACAATCATAATACACAAGTGTTTCTTATACTGTGAGGCTGTTCAGAAAAAAAAGTTGCAGCAGCAGAAACTAACATGCAAATAAACCTTTGTGGATAAATGGGGACATGGAAATCTTATGCAATTAACCACACGTCATTCTCATTGATCAAATTACCAGATTAGTTACAATAGATAAACATGTCAATACATATATACCAGAATGCGTGGCATACTCAAACTAGAATGTGCATTGAAGTAAAGCCATTAACAGCTAGCTGAAGCTTATATTAAGTATATAAACTATAAATTTAATTACAAATGAAAAAGCAAAGGAGGCAGACAATACTAGATAATAGTAGCAGGACAGGCTTCACACTTGAAGCGTTCCATGCCAGATGTGATATTCACTACCACATAGCCTTAAAAAATCTAAGTCTGCCCAAGCAAGAGTCACAAACACACACACACTTAAGAGTGAGACTGCCAATGCTAAATTACTTCCACAGAGAAACTTAGGCCTCAGATTCTCCTTGGAAACCTTCCCCAAATATCTTTGATGCCACCATTCCGAGTCTAGAAGGTGTCTACAGGAGCAAACACTTAAAATTCTGAAAATCATGTTACTGTCAAGCCAAACATCAATTGGAGATCAATAAAGAAAAAAAGATACAAAACTTAAATCAGTTTGTTTGATAGATTCATTGCTGGGAAGCAGTTTTAGCTCATGCTTTTTTATTTGTCAATGCTACTTTGATGCAGTGTTAGGAACTGAGATATGAAAGCTAGGAGCTATATGGCACCTTAAACCTAGGTTATGGGCGCAACAACATAATGTCTAGGAGCACTTTTTCATAACAAGAATACAAAGCTGAAAATGAATGAACTGCAGCTAAAATATTATCTTCATTTTCCACATGGCCAATGGTTCCCCTGCCCACCCCCCTAATATTCTTAAGAGGGTCTCTTCTATAGTCTTCAGAGAATAGCTGGATGTGGGGGAGGCAGAAAAAGGTCCTCCTTTCCTTCCACACTGCAGTTTCAACCTGAAATCCTAGGCTCAGCAACTGCTCACACTAATGAAACTCCCAGTTGCAAAATGCGCCAAGAACAATGGTAGTTTCAAACACCACTTTAACCTGGATATATTACAAAAATAGGGAATTAAAGACAATCAATACCAAATGGTAGTTTTGGCTGCAATTCTAGGCACGCTTAGGTGAGTTTCATAGGATAAAGTGGGATCTCTGAACAGATTTAGGAGAAGGCAGTTTGCGTATTAAATTGCAAAATCACTTACACGTACTTCAGAAAGACTCCCATAAATTTATTTCACCATCAATTAATCAAAAATCTATTATTTAAAAGGCATATGATATGAGTAACACAAAAGCCATTTCATAGGTTGGCAGTCCTTATTTGTTTTGCTGATGTCTCTATAGGATTTTTGGGATTTTGCTACAGCTGGGGTAAAGAATCTTTTTCAGCCAATCAGGGGATGAATGCTAACTGGTAGGCGGGGCCAGAGACAAAATAGGGAGGAGTAAATGTAAATTTTTACCTTTGTGTATTAGCCTAGTTTGTTCACACACTCACAATCCTCTCTATTCTCCATTGAGGCAAGCATGAAGCACTCAAAAAAAGTGCTAGGTATGGGTGTCACCGCATGAGAGTTCCAAGGGACACATAGAGAGGTCTGGAGGACCATATGTGGTCTCCAGGCCTGAGGTTCTCCATTGTCGTGCTGCCGTCCAAAGCCATGAGAGCAGCTATTACTTGAGAATAAGGAAGAGATCTTCATTCAGGCTCATAGCAGTACAACCTCAGCAGCCATCACAAGGTCCAGAAGTCACAACTGAACAAAAGCTACAAAGATGTCCCAATAGTTGGCACACACCTCTTGCCAAGTTTTTAAAGATGAGCGAGTTCACGAGATCCTCTTTCCCTATGGATCTGCAAGGCACACCCATCCATACTCATCTGGGTGGGTGTATCTGATGCCCCAATGAAGGTGGCGCCTAGCTCTCTGTGACAGGATTGTGCCCTTCCCCTCTGCCTCCAGCGCCATCAATGCCCAGCTCCTCCCTCTGGCTGGTTAAAGTCTTCCTTGCTCCCTGACTTCTCTAGGTATTATAATAGAATGGAGATTAGTACAGTGGCATGTCTAATTGAGTCTTATAAATGAAGCCGGAAAAGTTACTAGCCTGTTTCTTTAAGAGCTCTTAGAAGACTAGCAAAAATAAAAAAAGCTTTCTACCTGGTGGGATAGCAGAGAACGGACTGAGAAATCTCTCCTTCCTATGCCAGCCTGCTCACTTGCCTGCACAAAATTAATTCCATGCACTTGCTTGCAAGGAGTTCTTACGTACAAGGCTGATCAAATTAAATTCTGCACAGGTTGTATGAGTCAATGATTCATTTGTGACAAGTATTACTCAAGGGAAAACTAAGGTCAAACAGCATGTACAAACAGTGGATTTGAGAATGCCACATCCAAACTGCAAATGACAGAAATTCTCCATAGCCCTTAACAATTATGCTCTTGGAAGCAAATGCCTCCATGGGAAATGAAAAATCAAAGGAGTCTGAAAATTTATCTAATATGAAGCGTACCTGGTGTGTCATGGAGCTGGTGTCCAATTGCCTTGCTGTTTGTCCATATCACAATCAGCTAAGCTATCATAAAAGCTATCAACCAACTGCTTTGCTGCAGTCACATATGCTGAATTCCTGAGTTCCTTTGGCTTCCTCTGATCTGATAGTATCTACAGTATAGTCAATCCCTCTGAAGGCAGAGGGCCTTCTCAGTAGTGGCAACTGCCCTGTGGAACGCCCGCCCATCTGATGTCAAAGAAATATACAACTATCTGACATTTAGAAGACATCTGAAAGCAGCCCTGTTTAGGAAAGTTTTTAATGACTGATGTTTTAATGTATTTTTAATATTTTGTTGGAAGCTGCCCAGAGTGGATGGGGAGACCCAGGCAAATGGGCGGGGTATAAATTTTTATTATTATTATTATTATTATTATTATTATTATTATTATTATTATTATTATTATTATTATTATTATTATTATTATTAAACTTCCCTTCCTCCTATGCTCATGTTTCTTGAAAGGTGGGCATGATAGTAATATAATGAACAATGCAGTTCACTCATTTGATATTGGGTATTTTTTATATAACTGCTACAGAAATTGTGTTTATATATTTTAGATGCTTTTCTACTGCATATATTTTATTTTATTTTTTGTCAAAGCAGTAATCTGTAAAATACAAGCATATAGTTGTGGCAAGGTTCCTTCAGCATGGATGAGAAATACACTGCAACATGGAACTGCATTAAACAAAGGTTAACTCTAGGAACTGGGACAACTCTGCCTGTTCCTGTTGTTGGAAGGAAATCTGTTTGCAAAGAATCTCTGGCTGTGTTCACCTTGTTGGTGGAAGGGTGGTGCTGGAGAAATGACGGAGTGGAGCTTCCCACCAAAACAGCAATACACAGCTGACTGGGAACGGTTATGGACCACCGGTGTGAAATTCACGGCATGTAATGCCTTAAAAGAAAATATTATGAAAATGATATAGGTGGTACATGACCCCAGTCAAGCTTGCAAAAGTATATCATTTGCTTGGGCACCCACAATAATAATATAAATGTGGGGGTCAGGCACACGAAAGCTTGTGCCTAAAACCACTCAGTTGGTCTCTCTAAGGTGCTACATTATAATTTTTAAATTCTTTTGGAAGGATTCCTTTAAAGACTTTCTTAGATCATATAATTTTTTTGAAGACTTGATTCATTTAAGGGAGTTTTTAGGTTTTTAAGAAGAGTCTTTTTAACTATATTTTTAAAGAATTGTTTTAATTTATTATGTACATGCATACGCATGTGATGTCACATGTACACCTTGCGGTAGCGGGCACCCACAATCCACCCACAATCCTAAGGGTGAGATGGCACCCCTGTCTCCCACACCTAAGTGAAGATGGTGTAATGCCATTTCTCATTTGGCACTTAAGGAAAGAAGAACAAAATTAAGCCATAAGCAGCTTTATGGGTATCGCTACTTTAACAAATAGATTATGAGTTATTCACATACAGAACAGAGAGGAAATGAGTAGTAGTTTTACTGAGTTTGATACTATTTCTCTTAACGGGTATGTACTCTCTTAACAGGCATGATGCAGCCCTGTCTTCCAAAATCCTGTCCCCGGGAAAACACAACCAACCCATTATCTCAGTTTTAAGGAAGCAACTTAACTTCCCCACCCATATACTTCTGCAGCTGATGACAACAAAAGATTAATCTCAGTGTCAGAACCATAAAAAACTGCATAGGTAAAGGTAAAGGGACCCCGACCATTAGGTCCAGTCATGGATGACTCTGGGGTTGCGGTGCTCATCTCGCTTTATTGACCAAGGGAGCCGGCATACAGCTTCCAGGTCATGTGGCCAGCATGACTAAGCCGCTTCTGGCAAACCAGAGCAGCGCACGGGAACGCCATTTACCTTCCCGCCAGAGCGGTACCTATTTATCTACTTGCATTTTGACATGCTTTCGAACTGCTAGGTTGGCAGGAGCAGAGACCGAACAACGGGAGCTCACCCCGTCGCAGG